GGGGAGAGTGGTGTGTGAATGAGTATTGTGCGTGTGTGTGTGTGTGAGAGAGAGTGTGTGCGTGCGTGTGTTGGGGGTGGGTGAGAGGTTCCGTTTTTGGACTTGTGAGATGGTAGAAATGCGATGACCACTGACTTAGTGGAGTGACATTTGCTGCAGATTGGTGCTTATAACAGGAAAAAAAGGTAAGTTTTCAGTCTTGGAGAGGTTCCTAATCCTTTACCTGCACTTACAAAGCAGTTCAGAAATTAGAATTTTAAAAATAACTTTATTGCAAACTCAGTGGCAGCGAAACCTAGTCTAAGTGATGTGAGGCTCTTTACCCGCTTAATGTTTGTGTTATCTGGTTAGTTGCTGGGGGCATTAGGTAATGTAGCCTCTGTGCTGTATATACTTTACTTTTTTAAAAAAATTGATGTCAGAGGAAGGGAGAGGAAGAGGGATAGAAACATCAACGATGAGAGGATCATTGATCGGCCGCCTCCTGCACGGTCCCTGCTGGGATCGAGCCTGAATCCTGGGCATGTGCCCTGACCAGGAATTGAACCATGACCTCCTGGTTCATGGGTCAATGCTCAACCACTGAGCCACACCTGCTGGGCTGTATGTACTTTCTAAAATACAGAAAGTGGCAAGCCCTAAAACACGTTGGGCCCAGCTGTTTCGGGTTCCTACCATAGGCTCTGTCCTGCACCCATTGGGTGGACAAAGCTCCCTCTTCACCTGCAGATTCCTGCCCTTGGACAGTAGGGCAGGTGTGTGCTGGAGACAAAAAGGGTTTGTTTGGGATTGTGTGCCTCACCAAGGGGCAGCTGTTTTGGCCTCTGCTCCCCAGATGCCGCCGTGGTCCTCATGCTTCCCAAGAGGGCCTCACAGGTTCTTGGAGAGCTAACGCAGACCTGGAAGCTGGACCTGCCTCCATTCTCCCAGGGACTCACTGTGCTTAGTCTGGGTCCGGGAGGACTTCACTTCGTTGATATCTATTTATCGCCGTTTTATTGTTGACATTTTTTTTCTTTTTCTTTTTCTTTTTCTTCTTAAGGATGATCCTTTTTAAAAATTTGATTTTAGGGGGAGAGAGAGATTTGCTGTTCATTTATGCATTCATGGGCTGTTCCTTGTTTGTGCCCTGACCAGGGGTTGAACCCGAAACCAACTGAGCTACCTGGCCAGGTTAAAGAAGACCCTTTAGTATTTCCTGTAATATGGGTTTGGTGGTGATGAACTAACTCTCTTAGCTTCTTCTTGTCTGGGGAGCTCTTTGTCTGTCTTTTGGGTTATAGCTATCCTAGTGGGCGTGAAGAGCTAGCTCATTTTGATAACTAGTGATATTGAGCATCCTTTCATGTGCTAACTTTGGCAATTTGCGTATTTTCTTTCAAGAAAAGTCTATTCAGACCCTTTGCTCATTTTAAAATTGGGTGATTTGTCTTTCTGTGTTCTGGATGAAAGTGACTAGATACAAGCAACTTAACTTTTTTCCTCCCTTTCCTGTGTTTTGGCTGTGTGTGTGTTTTTTTTTAAATCCCCACCTGAGAACCTGCTTATTGATTTTCTAGAGAGAGTAAGGGAGGGAGAGGGAGAGAAGGGAGGGAGGGAGAGAGGGAGAAAGGAAAGATGGAAGGAAACATCAACGTGGGACAGAAACATTCATCAGTTGCTTTCTTGTGTGTGCCCCAATTGGGGATCGAACCCGCAACCTGGGTATGTGCTCTGACCGGGAATTGAACCCTCAACTTTTCAGTGTATGGGATGATGCTCCAACCAACTGAGCCACACTGGCCAGGGCTTGGATGTGTTTTCCTGATTCTTGCATGTCATAATTTTTGTTGTTGAAAACTGGACATTTGAAATAATATAATTATTAAATAATATAATTGTTAAATAATACTTATTTAAAAGGTTCTAGAAATCAGATCCTTCTCCCCAAGGGTCATTGTTGCTGTTTGTTTGTTTAGTGACTTTACTGGACTGATTTGTGAAGTTTGTTTTCGTCCTGTGTATCCATTGCAGTCTCTGCTCAGTTAGCTGGTTCCATAGAGGTTTTCTTAAATGCCTTGAATCAGTCTTTCATTCTTTTTTGAGGGCCTGTGTGTGTCTCAGGGCATACCTTCAACATGGCCAGGCAGTTTACAACTCTACCTTAACCTTCATCCTTGCTTGTGCAGTCTCATAACCAGGAGTGAGAGCATTGGGCCTTCTGAGGTTTTTCATGAGCATAAGAGCGGCCTTCTAGATTCCCAGGAATATGTTGGAGCCTTTCAAAGCTTCCTATGTCCTTTCATTCCCCAGCTCTTCCTCTTGTTTTAGCCAGCCTCTTGTGCGCTCCAGCTGGTGTCATGGCCTCAGCACCCTCCATGTTAAATGGTTGTCTCTAATTATTTTCAACAAATGTCTTTCACATAAGATGTTCTCACTGAGTGAACTCTTAGCTCAATCAGAGACAAGCCTGTTGAGTGGGACTTTTTTCAAGAAGCTGCCAGAGAGGTCAAGTAGAGGACAATTCTCTGGGGATGAGGCTTTCTTTGGGATGACCAAACCCATTCTGCTCACTCCTTTGCCTGCAAGTTTTCATAGGTTGCCAGGCTGTTGCTGAGCTGTGGAGAAGGGGATGGGTTTGGGAGACTAGGACAATTAAAATGCCACAAAGCTTACTGCTCTCACCAAGATTCACCTTTTTTTTCTTTTTTCTTTTCTTGAGTAAAAGGTGTTCAGATTAATTGTAAGCCTTTGTTTAATATCCAGAATTCTGGAAAAGGTTATTTTGATGATTTTTTGCCAGTGTTCCTGCTTTTATGGAGGAGCAAATTTTGGAAGTCCTTACTCTGCTTTCCCCGAAATGATTCTTTCCATTTTACAGAAACTGATCATGCCATTGGTGGTCTGCATGGTTCTGGGTTGCTTAGGGTCTGCCTTCTAGTGGTGATTCAGAGACCATGGTGGGACTTTGCTCAGAATAGATCTTGAACCTTTACCAGTTGGTCTAACAGGAACTTAACTCAATAAACTTTTTATTGAGACCATCTCTAAGTTTGTGATGTTTCAGATAATCTTGTGAGTCTTCCAGTACAGATTTCAGTCTTAGTATTGTGTAACATTTGCTCTAATTTTAGACTAGCCCCTTGGGTTTATAAAACTTTAGTCTTTTATTAGCCTTAGATATAAAGTGGCATTGTTGATATATAACAATTCTTTTTTTTTTTTTTTTTTAATGTTTTTATTGATTTCAGACAGAGGAAAGGAGAGGGAGAAAGAGAGAGAGAAACATTAATGATGAGAGAGAATCATCGATCAGCTTCCTCCTGCATGCCCCACACTGGGGATTGAGCCCGAAACCTGGGCCTGTGCCCTGACTAAGAATGGAGCCATAACCTGGTTCATGGGTGATGCTCAACCACTGAGCCATGCTGGCCGGGCTCTTGTTCTTTTTGTTAACTGGCCTGGCACATTCTGTAGTTAGGAAGTTATAGAATTCAGATATTTACCTAAACTTTTGGTAAGACAGACATCACACATCATTTAACTAGAGCTTTATTTAGACAGCTCCATTGTTGCTTTGAGCACAAGACGCAAACCCTGGAGGGAAACGGACCAATCTTGTGGATCCCCATATTTAGTCAAAGGACACTGCATATGTTATTTGTCGACAAAATTAGCTCTACTGGTGCTAGGTAAGAAGTCACAACTTGAGAGTTTTCCTTTTGAAGGAATAAAATAAGTGAGTTAGATGGAAGAGTCATGGAGTGATGTGTCACTTCAGGTCCTTCGAGACATCCTCAAGGAGGTTCAGAGTAACATGGTGCCACGCAGCATGCTGAAAGAGTGGGCTCTGCACACCTTCCCCAACGCCACAGACTACTGGACATTCCGGAAGATGTTCACCATCCAGCTCGCGCTCATTGGCTTTGCGGAATTCGTCTTGCACTTAAACAGACTCAACCCCGAGATGTTACAGATCGCGCAGGTAATTTGGTATGAATAGCCAGACCCTCTCCTTAAACATCTGCATTCTGCTGTTTAAATTCTAAAATGCCTCCTTCTGAAACTTAGGACACTGGCAAACTGAATGTTGCCTACTTTCGATTTGACATAAATGACGCCACTGGAGACTTAGATGCCAACCGTCCTGTTCCTTTCCGCCTCACACCCAATATTTCTGAGTTTCTGACCACCATCGGTGTCTCGGGCCCCTTGACCGCCTCCATGATCGCTGTGGCCCGGTGCTTTGCTCAACCAAACTTTAAGGTAAGTCACAAGGGCATCTGCAAGAAGCACAGGCTGGGATTACGCAGTCCCATTGTGACCTCACAGTAAGTGCCAGTCTGCTCTCAAGGAGGGAGAGCGCGGAGTTAGTAGAGCTCATCGTTGCTGTGCAATTAAAGCTGCTTCACTCCTTGTCCTGAGACACGTGCCCTGCAGCACCCACATGCTTTGCACCCTCGATTGCTTCCTGTCTGCACCGAGTGACTTCCTCGAAGGCCCTCTGAGACCCCCTCTAGCCTTCCTCACCTGCTCTTTCCTCCACAGCGCCCATCACCACCTGGCACCTTGTACATTTTGGGACATGAGCCTCCTAAGGGTGGGGGTGGTGTTTCTGATTTGTTTACTCTTAGCTTCCGTGCCAGGAATGCCCTAAGCAGGCCCTGGACAGGTACTTGATGCACGGGGTGGGACAGAGGAACAGACTGGCCCCAGTAAGTAGTGTGAGGCAGCAGGTGCCACTGGACACGTGGGCCCTGGCTGTGCTGTAAGGCTTGGCACAGGCTTTTTGGCCACTGCTCCTCATGGAGGAGTGGTTTATACCCTGGTGGCTTCCCTAGCACATCTACAGGCACATGCCCTGGCCTGAGGGTGACTGCCACAGCCTGCTGGCCGAGCTGGTTCTCGTTGGGAAGCTGCCCCTCTGGTTACTCTTGATTAAACGTGGATTGTTCCATTCTCTCCTCGCAAAGGTGGACGGCATCCTGAAAACTGTACTTCGGGACGAGATCATTGCTTGGCACAAAAAAACGCAGGAGGACACCTCCTCTCCTCTTTCAGCCGCTGGGCAGCCAGAAAACATGGACAGTCAGCAGCTGGTTTCCCTGGTTCAGAAGGCTGTCACCGCCATCATGACCCGCCTGCACAACCTTGCCCAGTTTGAAGGCGGGGAGAGCAAAGTGAACACCCTGGTGGCCGCCGCAAACAGCCTGGACAACTTATGCCGCATGGACCCCGCCTGGCACCCCTGGCTGTGACACGGCAGCTCCCACCACTGGTGCGTGAAGGGCGCCTCTCGGGCTCCCAGCGCCGGCTTCACAGCAGAGGACTCCGCCTCGTTCCCTGGATGTTTGGGAGGCCTCCAGCTCCCTGCGGCGCGGTTATTCCCTGAAAGTTTGCTGGGAAAGAGGGTGAATTCAGTTCAGGGGGAGCTGGACTATATGGTGAGGCGATTCGAATGCTGACCTGAGCCTTACTCGAAGCTTTGAAAGTAACCTTTCAAGAAACCAAGGTTCCCTGTCCTGGGGTTTCTGTGAATTCGCCGTCCCCGCCATCTGTGTGAGCGGACGGACGGACTGTGGGAAACAGCCCCACAGCATCCTTTTTTTAACTTTCAGAAGCAGCACCTGACAGGAGCTTCGCGCTTTTGTATAGAAAACCCACTTTGTTAGAGAAACAGGAAATTATGAACAAATCCTGCTGGTTTTACCCCAAGCACACACTTCGATGCTGCCTGCACCAGCGCTGGGAATCTCATTGAGCGTTTGACCGGGATCCGTGAGGCCTCGTCACCCTGCGGGATCTGGGGATCCGACCTCATGTGCTTGGGTGGGGATTCCACTGGGAGGACTGACAGGTGACTCCAGCTTTTTATCGCCAGCTCTTTGGATGTCTTCTAGACATTTACTATCATTGTACCTGAAAAAATCACTTCTTCCTAATTTAAAAAGAAACAGCAAGAGAAGTCTGTTAGCTCCAGTCTGTGTTCACATTTTTATAAATACGAGTATTGAGAATGTTCTATCTAAATTTGTACAGTGTGACTTTTTTAGAATAAATATTTTATAAAAGGATGTGTTGTCCTTTATGTGTTAACATGCCTGTTTCCGTGAGGTGTTTCCTCTGCCTGAATTTCCCCTAGCCCTTGGGGACTGGAGGGTCCCAGGCCAGCGTGGACCATGCTCGAGTGTGGCTTCATGGTGATGGACTTGTCCTTCCTAGGCAGGGTCTCAGCTTGGGACTTGGGTCTGAACCAGACACGCAGCATGTTTGTGATGGCGATGCGGCCTGCTGGTTCTGACTTTGATGATGTGAGACTGCGCCCAGGAAGCTGGTGCTTTTTAACTTTTCTGTATTTCAGGGCTGCTGCTCTGAAACCTGTGTGTGCAGCCAGGAAATGGCCGGGCAGGAGCAGCACCATGTGCCTGGAGGCCTCAGCTGCGCCCCCGACAGGGCTGTTTCCCAGTGTTTGGAGCATCTCCCTGTGCTCAACTCCACCAGCTCTTGTCCTTTGCACCCTGTGTCAGCACCTCAGGTGGGGAGTGGACAAAGCAGAGGAATCCCTCCCTGGAGGATGTGGAAAGGACAGTTCCCAGTGGCAGTCTGGAATGTCCTAGGGGACAAAGGGCTGGTTGCTACTTCTAAAATTACGATTCTGAATTTTAAAGAACTTGCCCCATTGGGAAGTGCCACGTCTTATGTGAACACAGTCTTCACACAACGTGGGCCGGTCAGCAAGGCCCCCTTTCAGGACCAGGGCTTGAGCTGTCTCAGGCCCTAGGCTCTTCCCAGACCTCGCCTGTGCCCACATTGTCCCCCAGTGCCCAGGCCAGCGTGGGGTGAAGTCTGCAGCTGAGCTCACTCAAATATCGGCACAGTCCAGTCCAAGGAGCATAATCCAACGTACCCACCCTCGGGATGCCAGCTCATCCGTAGCAGGGAGGACCCCTTGAGGTCTTTCTATCTCCGGTCCTCAGAGGTAGGTAGGTCCCTCTGCCCCCAGGGGGCAGTCCTTGCTTTACAGAGAAGGGACTTCCTGTTCGCGGTGAGTACTCATCTACAGTCCCAGAACCAACTGTGGAGAAACTGGAACATGGACAGAGGTCAAGGGGCCCAGTGTTGTCCATCTGACTGGACTCCCATTTTTTTGTGCAGCTAACTGTAAGTTATTTTACAATTACTTGGAGGGCTGTCTTTGTGAGAAGGTATCTTGGATTTGGAGTGACAGGAGCTGGGTATCTAAAATGACAGGTGATCGCAGGCTGCCAGCTAATCGAGGGGAGAAGGTGCCAGGTGCCTCTCACCATCCTCACCTTGTGCAACGGGCTTCGCAAGCCTGGGGGCGGGAGCATTTGACGCACAAGCCTTGAGCTGCCTTTGTGCTCTGGGAGAGCAGCGTGGAATGCGGTGGTTGCAGGGAGGCAGGAGTGGCTTTGGGGTAAAGGAGTCTGGAGTCCGTGTCCTGGTGAGAAGGGCTCGCCCACACCTGGCCCCAGGCACTGACTCTGGTTTCTAGGGAAACCAGCCTTTGAACAGCCGGGGCAGGAGTGAGTTCCCAGTGGGGATCCAGTCTCTTCTGAGCTCCATCTGTAAGTGGCAAGATCAAGGACCTGGAGTCAGGTCTGAGCTGTTGTCTTCGAGACCGTGAACCTTGGCTTTCTCACCCAACGTGGTGGTGCTGGGAGCTGGGCCTTACACTTGCTCTTTTCAAGATTCTTTTGGCCAGTTGGGTGGGGGTCTCTGAGATTCCATGTTTTAGGGTGTTTTTTTCTATTTCCGGAAAGTGGTTTTTGGATTTTTGTAGGGGTTGTGCTGAATCTGTAGATCAGTCTTCAGTCCATCAACCCAGAATGTGTTCGCATTTATTTGCCTTCTTTAATTTCCTTGATATTAGTAGCTTTATAGTTTGACTGTACAGGTCTGTCATATCTTTGGTTAAATTTGTTCCTGTTTCATTCTTTTTGATGCTACTGTAAAAGGAATTGTTTTAATTTTCTTTCTGAATTGTTGTTAGCATATAGAAATACAACTAATTTTTTATGTTAATTTTGTATCCTGCAATTTTTTTGAAGTTGGTTTTTAGTTCTAATAGTTTCTTGTTTGTTTACCAGAAAGAAAACCATTTACTTTAAAATAGTGTTGGCAAAAATTTTCTTAGGGAGAAAACCATTTTAGTTGTTGGGCAAACAAGGTAAAAAGTATGAAAAGATGGGCCTCAGTTTAGTTTCTTGAAGAGAATATAAGAACTAAGGAAGCGTTCTCTGAAATGCTTCACTTGAAAAGAGGATCTTGAGGGCTGGGGTCCGGGTGACAAAGGTGAGGGGATTAGGAAGCAGGTTGGCAGTTACAGATCGTCACGGGGCGTCCAGTACGGCACAGGGAACGCAGTCAGTGACACCGTCATAGCTGTGTGGTGTCAGGTGGGCACCGGAAATATTGGAGGGAGCGTTTTGTAAAGTGTATAGTCTGACCACTACACTGTACACCTGAAACTAATACAGAATAATACTGAATGTAAATTGTAATTGAAAAAATTAAGAAAATTTAAATCCTCACCAGAGGATATGTTTATTGATGTTTTTAGAGAGAGGAGAGAGCATCAGTGTGAGAGAGGAACACTGACTGGTCGCCTCGCGCACAGGCCCCGGGTGGGGGCCGAGTCCAGCCTTTCTGGTGAGCTGGCTGCCTCTCCAGCCAGCCGAGCCGCCCGCCTGGCCGGACCAGGCATTCTGAACAGGCGCGATACTGTGCTCTTAAATTGGGGGGTGATTACATAAAAGTGCTTAAAAAGGCGCCTTAGGAAGGTGGCGTATGTTTATTTTTCAGTTCTAGCAGTTTTTTGATGTGCATTTCTTAGGTTTTGCTGTAATAAGCTCGTGTTCGGTCTGCTTGCTCTCTCTGGTTTGTGGGACAGGGACCAAGCTGCCAGTTTCCCCAAACTATGCTGCTGTGCAGTCAAGTGAAACTAAACGAGAAAATTCAACATTATTTTAGCGGAGAGGCAAGAAATTGCCCTTTGTGGGCCAAAAGAATATACTTGTTAAGTAGCAAAACAAAAGTACTGTTTTTATAACTAGCCAGAAGCCAAATAAGATGGAAATAAGTTTGTAATGAGGTCACATTTTATACTGTACATTTTAAATCATATCCTAGAAATTACAGCGTTATGAAGGTTTCATTTGAGCTGTTGTGTGTGTAATCACTTCAACAACAGAAATAAAACCAAAAGAGAAAATGGTCAAAATTATTCTAGAAGACAAAAACGTAATTACTGTATTTCTGGGTTACTGTAGTGGACCTATTAGTAATAATTCTGTATCAACACTACCTACAAATGGAATGGAGTGGAAGCGATTGCCTTATATGACTTACATTTAAAGATTCTTTAGTTATTAATCATAATTCTAGAATAATTCTATCAAGATTCTAATTTGAACCACCTTATCTCTAAACTAAAAGCAACGAAGCTAAAAGAGAAAAAACCCTCAAAATTACTTTAATACAGAGGTTACTGAGGACAGAGGGCAGCTGAGGCTCTGGACCTTTTAGTTGGCACCTGGGAAGGCAAATGACTGCACCTCGGCTGTGTGGACAGAGGTGGAGCCCAGCGCCTGGTGTAGACATTCCTGTTAGTGGAGTATGTGTTGGGCCTACGAAGACTGTTGGAGAGAATTCCTGGGGGTGGGGACATTGTCCTCGTTTCCTGAATTTAGGAAAGGACAGGTGTCTGAGGAGGACGGGAGCCTCAGCCAGCGGTTCCTGCAGGCGTCAGCTCTGCCGGCCATCGGGGCATGGACACGGCCTGTGGACAGAGGTTCTGAGCCTGTGGGGGCCCTGGGTCCCCCCTGGGTCCCAGCACTGTCACAGCTCAGTGCTCCTTCCTCAGGAACCTGGGGCCTGAGGATTCGCTGCTGGGCTCTCAGGCCTCTGCCAGACGCGGCACCTCAAGCAGCAGGGACACAAGTTAAATTTGAATTCCTTTCGAATAACCTTCGCCTGACGTGTGCATTTCCTCCTCCTGAATTACTGTGTTCTTCGTGGTAAGTGAGCTGGCCTTGACAGTGGCCACCAAGGATTTGTTTCCACAAGCATCTTGGTCTCTGTGAGGAGTCGCGGCTCTGCGTGCACGGCTGATCTTTTAAATTGCTTCAGGGAGGTTTTCTTCTCCCAGGGAGTTGGTTCTTCATTGAATACTCAATGGAAATCCACTTCTTTCTCTCAGTGTAGTTCCTGCCTGAACTTTTATCACATTAAAAAGAAATGTTAAAGGAAAGGGGAAATTATGACAGGCAGGCTCTATTTCCAGCACAAGCGTCCTGAGCGACGTGCTCGTGAGCGAGTGGGGTCCACGTCCCGCAGAGTGACGGCTCGTTCCCTTGTGCCGCAGGGGTGACCCGGCCGCACCAGCACCTGCAGGTAAAGCTCAAGTCTGTTTTCAGTCCCAGAAGATCCTATCACTTTCATGTATGAATTACCAGATACATTAAAAATGATTTCAAACTTTTAATTTTTTATAGAAGTTCGTGTATTTTTTCCAGTTTTATTGACTGTAATTGACATTTCACATTGTATTAGTCCGAGGGATACAATATAATGATTTCTTATATATCTACCAGTTTTTTCTCACTGCAGTGACATTCTATTTGGGGATTTTATCTTTCTTTGCTATTTTAGCATACATTTGGTTTCATCTTGCTTCAAGAGTTTTTAAGTATCTAACTCGGCCACCTCAGTAATTTTCTTTAAAAATCCTTGCAGCTCACCTTCTGAGGGATTTCCATTTCCTAACAGAGTGGTCACTGCCAGGTCCAAGCTCCAGCCACCTGTCCTTCCTGTGGGACCCGAGCGGGTGCCCTGCAGTGGCTTCGCATCGGCACCGGCTCCCCATGGCAGCTGCACGGTGAGTGGACATGAGGGGGCAAAAGTGGGAGAAGTGAGCCCAGTTAGGGCTCAGATGGGCCTATGTCTGGCCCAACCTCCATCTAGACGGCCCCTTGCTCAAAGGACACCTGGTGCCAGGGAGCACAGCCTCGGGAATGCCCGGCTGGGGTGGGTGCTCAGCATGGGGAAAGGCTCAGGGTGGCAGCTCACAGGGC